TCAGTTCTGTCTCATAGCAAGCCTCTATAGGGTTTCCCAGGTTGTAAATCTTTATGGGAGCAGAAAGCCTCATTTTTCTCTCATCGTGGAATGCCTGGTAGTTTTGAACTTCTGAGTTTGGGGTAACCACTATACTACCAGAGGTCCTTGGTGGATATGGGAAAGGGCTTCAATACACTTGTGGAAAATAGAATTAAAAGTTAATGTATTTTTTTCCATGAAATTTTGGAAGCCCTATCACATTTCATATATTCAGGGAAAAACAAACTTTGAAGTTTCATTCTGGTTACTTTTCTGTTCTCTTCTGACAGGATTCCTGTTAAATCCTGGCTAGTTCATTTTGATAAATCATTCTCAGTCACAGATACACATGTATTTTCCCCTATGGATGGTCCCTTCATAAAAAAAAAAAAAAAAAAAAATGTTGCTAAAATCTAGACCTAAATATGGGAATTTTTGATTTAGCTAATGAGGAGTTTATTATTTCCTTTTATTTGACAATTAGAAAAAGAATATCCCAGTACCCAGGAACAAAATTTATTAAGCTTGTTATTTCATAGTTAAATTAACAAGGAGAAAACACCTTTTCTAATTCTTAAAATGAATGTAAGGACTAATAGTTAAAAACTCAAAAAACTCTGGTAGCATAGTTTACAAGTCAGGCTGATAACCTCAAGGTCAGCAGTTCAAAACCACCAGCTGTTCCTCAGGAGAAAGATGAGGCTTTCTGCGCCTATATTTACAGACTTGGAAACCCTATGCAGGATTACTATGAGTCAGAACCCGCTCCACAACCACCACCACCACCAGTTAAAAGCCCAAAGCACGTCCCAATGATGGTTAATAAAGGCAGAGATTAGCAACTTTCCCAGCAACAAAGGAGCTCTGCTAGCATAGTGGTTATTAGTTGGTCTGCTAACCTTAAGGTCAGCAGTTAGAAACCACTTGGCACTAAATTACCTAGCAATTAAGCATTTCTTCATCAAGGCACTTCACAGTTTTCTTTATTGCTTAATCCGTGTGCAAAGCAGCGGGAAAGATGAATATAATGTCATCACCAGGGTTTCTCTGAGAATCAAACAAACATTTTTGTATATGGAGTCATGTTTTATAAACTCTCCACTAGAGAAAGAAGTGAGGCCTAAACCAAGTCTTGGTCAA